CGCTTTGCGACGTCTGCTTAGGCCCAGTCTTGATGGCCCCCTTTTTTAAAAAATAGTGGAAAAGTTGTATTTTTTCTCCCACTACTATTGGATACTTCCAGAAGTAATAATTTAGCAAGGCACAGGCCTTGCAAGCCTCCTATAAGCTCCAAAAAAGAACTTAGAAATGGATCCTTGTTGTTATTCACAAAATAGATGTAATGGGGCTTTGAAAAGTTTGTATCATACTAATTTAGTTACATAGTGTAACTGTTTTCATGCCATTGCCACTAGTGAAATTTGAACAAGTAAGTTTGCCCTGCCAAAAGACAGTAAAATCACTTTTACTGAAATGCAACTCTGACATCTTGAAAAGCTATATGATTTTTAAAAAGTACTGCAGCCTTGATGGGCCTTTGGACTGTGTTCCATATTTAAAGAAAGGCCATACCAGAAGTTCTCAATGTGGTCCAGTGGATAGAGTTTGTGACATACTGTGCTGCATGAGCAGTTTATTAACTCTGGATCTCAGTTTTCCATTTATAAAGGCCAAGCTGGAAGACACTGTACACTGAAAATGCTACATAAATGATGAGCTAGTATTTTTAATGCTTTCCTGAGTCTTGACAAGTATTTGCAGTACTTGAATTGTTTCCTGCTTTGTTTGGAATCACGGGCCATCTGGAAGCTAGAAGAAGATTTCTGAAAGTTCTCTGTCTAGATGGTTTTGGCTAAATTTGTTGAACACCAGAGATGATGCAATTTTCTGCTTCTTCCCACATCTAAATCCTTGCTGACAAAGCCACCAGACATAGTGGTCGATCAATTGGTGTGTGTTGTTTTTAACATCCTAGGTCAGTGTGCAAGATCCATGAATGTTTTTTCCACTTTGTTGCCTTTGTAAAGGAGTTGGAGCAAACTGTTGCATGGTAATGAAGGCTTCCTTAGAGATTCACCTTTAGGAGTGCCAGGCTCTTCTTTTTATTTAATGAAAGAGGAGGGGAGAATAACTGTTAATCCCATTTAAAAGCAACACTGTTAAGCAATGAATTGGACACAAAACACAACACTGTACTGTGTGTTTTCCTGTTTGTGTAATCTGCATCCGCCATGTGTTGATTTACTTTCCATCTGTACCTAGTTTGTTTGTTTTAAAAGTACTTGAAAGGGCAATACGTGTGCATCAAAGTTTGCAAGTTATCTTACTACAAAGATTGTTAGTTGATTTTATCTTTGCAAGCATATTTTGTCCCTTAGATAAATATAATTTTCTGTAAAATGTTCAAGGTTTGGTCCTGTTGCCAACAACAGTTCAGAACTCTGCTGTGCCTGTGGAGGACAAGCTACAATTCCATGATGCCCCATGCGATTCTCAAGAAGAAAATCAAAAGGTCACCCCTCCTCTCACATACACACCCATTTCCAGTTCAAGCAGGGCTGTGGTCCAAGACTTTTAGGGCCAAACTAGATAAGACAATATTGTATAGTTTGGCAAAGCCCCCTGTTCCTGCTGGCTAGTTGTTTTTCTCTTCTTTTAAGATCCCAGTACAGTACATATTAATATTCTCTATCTGCTGCACAAAACTATTTTTCATGAAAATAAATGTTGGAGTTTTATAAAATGAGTTTGCATGTAATGCATAATCTGATCCTTCTTCCCTGGTCAAGCTAGAAATGAAAGAGGGAAAGTTTTCTGAATCTGTGCTTTGCTTCTAGGAAAGTTTAAGTTTCCACATTAGTAAGCAGGGTGCAGGATGGTAACCTAGTTTTATTTTATTTTTGTTTAGTAGAAAAGTAATTCAGATTTCTTGAACAGCACTTTTTGCTTCTCTTAATGGGAAGTAACTTTGCACTCAGCCAATGTCTTGGAATAATCATACAATGTGTGTTCATCTTGTTTATACGTGGGTCTGAAACTGATGCAAAGGTAGGTCCTTACTTCCCACCACACCTCAGTACAGTATCCAAGATCTTTTACTGCTTTTTTAAACTTGTTTTTTACTTATGTTTTTAAAACAAATGTAGCTTAATTGTCTTTTAACTTTTATGTTAAGAGTTTTTAAATTGTATTGTGCTTTTAAAACACTGTACACCGCCTTGGATCTCATGCTGGGAGAAAGGAAGGATATTAAATAAATGAATAAATAAATTCCATTGGTGGGCAAGGTTCTAGAGCAGGGGTAGGCAGCCTTTTTCAGGCGGGGGCCTGGTCCACAGAACAGCTCCCTTCCGGTGGGCCGGGGGGGGATGGCAGTCGCACGCGCTGCCACCGCCACGCACGCTCCCGCAGCTGCCACCGTACGCGTTGCGCCCACCATTTTGTTTTCCAAAATGACGGGCACGACACATTTGCGCATGTGCAGGAGTACTGCGCATGCACAAATGCGTCACGGCCGCCATTTTGGAAAACAAAATGGTGGGCGCGGGCGCGCAATGGCCGAAACTCGCGGCGGTGGTGACGGGGGTCGGTGGGGGCCGGTAAGTGCGGGGGCCCAGGACAGAACTGGCCCGCAGGCCGTAGGTTGCCGACCCCTGTTCTAGAGGATTTGGTGACTTCTCAGCTCCAGGGGTTTCTGGATGAGGTGGATTATCTAGATCCATTTCAATTGGGTGTCAGGCCTGGTTATGAGCTTTGGTCACCTTGGTGGATGACTTTTGTGGAGGAACAGGATGGGGAAGTGTGCTTCAGTTAGTTTCACTGGACCTCTTGGCAGTTTTCAAAACTATTGAGAGTGGTGTGGGTCTGGGTTTCCTCATTGGAATGAGGGCTTAGAGGTACTCTTCTACTATGGCTCTGTTCTTTCCTGCATGTTCTCAGAAGGTAGTGCTGGGGGAATTCCTTTTTCACTTCTTGGCCATTGGCCTGTGGAGTCCTTCCAGGTTCTGTCTTGTCATCTATGGGGAACGAATGTGATATGTTTCCAGTTATGGAAGGGGTTTTCTGCTGTCTACCTCTCATAGTAGCATGTTGTGTGGAAATAGTGAAATTAAAGCCAAGGATGTGGTCCTGGCTGTACAATATGTAACTCTTTTATTATATAATACTACCGTGTTTTCCCAAAAATAAGACACTGTCTAATATTTATTTTGCCTCATGAAGACATACTATGGCTTATTTTCAGGGGATATTGTATTTGTCCTGACTCCGCCCTGACGCCGTGCGCCCATCCACACGTCACACAGCGTCAGGGCGCCCTCTTGGTGCAGTGTGCATACACGCTGCGCCAAAACGAGTGCAAAAGAGCCACGACGGTGGCTCAGAGGCCAGCTTTTTGCCACCCCAAAATGGAGTGGCCCTTTGAGCTGCTCTTTTAGGGGTGGCAAAAAGGAGGATCATGGCCGCAACCCTTTGAGCTGCAATGGCAGCTCTTTTCTGGGCTGCCCCTGTGAGTGACAGATCCACCACTCCCAGGGGCAGTCCAGTAATGAACCGCGGCTGTGGCCCAAAGGGTTGCGGCCACGATCTTCCTCTTTGCCGCCCCAAAATGCCCTATGTCTTATTTTTGGCCCTATGTCTTATTTTCGGGGTATGGCTTATATTGCGCAAATGCTTAGAAATTCTGCTACTGCTTATTTTATGGGTATGTCTTATTTTTGGGGAAACATGGTATTACTACTCTTTAAGTATTTGCAGAACAGTATTGATTGCTTTTGCATATGTTTTTCTAATCCAACCTACCTCCCTTTTCCATAATGTGTACCCAGAGCTTGGAAAAGTTTTTTTTTTCCCCCAATGTTGGCTTGGGGATTGTAGAAAAGTAACTTTTCTTAGCTTCTGGTATATGCATTGTTTCTATGTTTCTGTTTGCAAGAACAGTTTTATTGTGAGAGAATTTCTCTTCCTTAATCTTATGGTCCTTTGTAAAAAATAAAAAAAATACAGACTTTGAACACCTTAGATTAGCAACCATTAAAAGGACAGCATTTGCATTTTTAGGTTTTGTAAATGCACAAACTTTCAAACAACTTTGTTGCTTTGGAAACCAACTCTATAAAAGGCTCACAATAGAAGCAGAAATCTATTATTTATGAGAGGCTAAGTCG